AACACAGGAAAGTGAGCAAAAAACTATTACCTCTATGAATACTAGTTGTGTTTCACATATGGATTTGTAACCACCATCTATTCAAGTGAGTAAGAAATACTGTTTACTTTCATTTGAATCAATTAAGTCAGTAAGCTCCCATGAAATTACAGCTTTGTTCTTTTTGTAATTGCCTCTCCCTTCCCAGAGTCTAATATCCCAGGGATTTTACCCCTATTCTATTTTAAATAAATTTCTGTATATCCTCGCAGAATGTTCTTTGTACATTTAAAAAAACTGTGGTGATAACATAAAACTTACCATTTTAACCATTTTTAAGTGTACAATTCAGTGGCATGAAGTACATTCACAGTTGTACAACCATTACCACTATCCATTTCCAGAACTTTTTCACCATCCCAAACAGAAACTCTGTACATATTAAACCCTAACTCCCCATTCTCTCCTCCCCCAGTCCCTGGCAATTCCCCCCATCCCTCCCTTCCCTCAGCCAGTGGTAACTCTACTCTGCTTTCTGTCTCTAGGACTTTGCCTATTCTAGATACCTCATAGAAGTGGAATCACATAATATTTATCTTTTCTCTCTGGCTTATTCTTCTTAGCATAATGCATTTATTCATGTTGTAGTATGTATCAGAATTTCATTTCTTTTTATGGCTCAATAATATTCCACTATATGTGGATAAAACATTTTTTAATTCATTTATCTGTTGATGGGCACTCAACTTGTTTTGTTTTCACCTTTTGGCTAATTTGAACAATACGGTACAGACTTTGGTGTGCAAGTATCTGTCTGAGTCCTTGCTTTCTATTCTTGTAGGGTATATACTTACGTGTGGAACTGCTGGATCATGTAGGAATTCCATGTCTAATTTTGAGGAACTGCCAAACTACTTTCCACAGCAGATGCATCATTTTATATCCCCATCCACAATGCATGAAGGTTCTCTGTACCTCTCTGTTTTAATAGAAATGTGGAGCTTCTTAAAGGACCCAACTTTCCTCACAGACACACATTCTCCTGTGCAGCACACACTGTACAGGTTTCTTCCTTTGATACATATAGCTGTTTATTTCAACATGTAGCTTTTATCTATCTATTTTTAGGTTGTTTGCCATTATGGCACTGACAGTGAGTACCCAATCTTTTCAGACAGTATCCAAATGGGTATTCATACTTGAGTTTCATAAATTTTTCACTTCTTCATATCTAGTGACCCCCCCTCTCAATTTCATCTACTTCTAAGGCAATGCTTTTAATATTGTCAATGCTTCACCTCTGAGATCTTAAACAGCAACAGTCCACTTTCTGCCCACAACCTCTGATCCTTTTAGCTCTTGAATTTTCTTATTCCTGCCACCTTTGCTCTTTGATCTCAAGATTTAGGGTTTCTTGATTCCTCCTTTTTCTCTTGGTATACATGTTCTTTCAGTTTTACTTCCTGCTCTACTTAGCTTAGACCATTATTCATCATTTCAACAACTTTTTGCTAGTTTACTTTCAACCACGCTCCTCTCCATCATTTCAGACCTGCAAACTTATAATCCTGGATCATTTCAATCCTTTGCCTTCTGTGCTACTATACAAGGTAGTTGAGCGTGTTAAGTTATGCAACTGTACAAACTAAAACTCATCTGTAGCATCTATGTCCAGCTCGCTCTTTAGGACTGCTTGTCGTGGTCTTCTTGCCCCTATTTAGTTTTCTTTCCCATTCCCTTTCAAAGCCTCCTGTCCTCTGCACTTTAGAAGCCCACACTGACCCTCACTTTACAGAAAAAAATGAAACTCTTAATTGCGAACTGACACTTATTTCTATTCCACAGCTATTCTTATCTCTTTCAGTCCTGTCTGTGAGCACAAGGTGACTGACCATCTTCCTGTTCAAGGCAAATGCTTTGGGAGATTCTAAATTCCATCTCTTCCTTTTTCTGTAGGAATCCTGTTCCATCCATAACAATTCTATTAGCTCTTTCCAATTAGTCATAAGCAGGCTCAAATATCTGCCATTTTTCAAAAACCAAAACCAAAAGTCCTAAACCTATCTTCCTTTCTTCTCAACTATCATTAACATCTTTCTCATTCAAGTTTCTTCAAGGACTGCTCTATTGTCCAAATTACTATGCTTCTTGACCTCTAATCACTCTTCAATTCACAGAAAACTGACTTCTGTATCTAATGCTTTATTAAAACTACTTCTGTGGAGGTTACTAATGACTACCTAATTTCAAATAGAAAGGACAGTTTTTCTCCTTATCTTCCTTAACCATTTAGCAATAGATGACCTTTTTTTCAAATTTTTTTAAAATCTCCTCCTTTGGCTTCAGTGATATACATTTTGATTCTACTCCTACTTCACTGACTTCGTCGTGTAAAAGTAAATTTATCTTAACATTGGTTGAGCACTAACAATAAACTAAATACTGTGCTAAGAACTGTACATACTTAAAACAACTGTATGAGGTAGGTGCTATAATTCTAATTTCACAAAAAGGAAACGGTCTTGGAGAGGTTCACTTATATGAGCCACAAAAGGCAGGGCTGTCTTAAGTGCAAATCCCAGTAGTTTTAGCATACTACCAGCCTTTTTTTTTTTTAAGTAGCAGTGAGAGGGGTACATGTGAAGCATATCTTTGAGCCAACAATTGTTAACTCTTTATCTAGAAGAGATTGTTTAACTCTGTTATATTCGTGTAGATTAAAAAAGTCTTCGGAAAACAAGTGTTTTGGCTTTACAATTTTTAAAAATCTTTCAGTAATCTGCAATTCAGTAAAAAGAAGGAGCATTAAGAACTGACATCAAGGTTTGTTTTTTAAGAAAAAAATGTCAGTTCATGTAAGATTATCATATGCTTCTCAGAATTCCTGGACAATGTCACTTTACCAACAAGCATTTGCTGTCCTATCTCACAAGGATGGCAGGGGAAGTTTCCATGAAAACTCTCCCTTACCAATAGTGTGAAGCTACTTCATACTGCACTGCAATAGCCAAGGGCACAAATTACACAATATTCATAAGTCCTAGTAGCACATTTAATATATGCTCCTATTATTCTATCAAGAGACCCTAATTTAATGCAGCTACCTGAAATGTGCTTGTAAAGCAGCATCCCTCAAACTTGAATACATGTGGGAATTTTTAGGGAACTTAAAACACACTGACAGCCTAGTCCTACCTCAAGAGACTGATGTAATTGGCCTGGGAGGAGATGGGGATTAGAATTTTGAGAGGCTCCTCAGGTGCTTCTAATGCACAGCAACAGTTGAGAATCCACTGGTGTAAAGTATGAAGGAAAGATTGTCATATTCACTCTATAGTTACAAAAAAAAAAAAAGGGTGAATGGCTGGGATGTCTTCATTAATCATCAGGTTTTTGTTTATGCACATGATCACATATAGACATTGCTTCTAACTGTGGACAAATGATTCCCCATTCAGTCATCAATCAAACATACTTAATATTTTATAACTGCATTAATTCGTAAGGCTACTATAACAATGTACCACAAACTGGGAGGCTTAAAACAGAAATTTACCTACAAGTCCAAAATCAAGGTGCCAGCTCGGTTATGCTCTCTTTGATGGCTATAGGTGAGAATCCTCCCAGGCCTCTTCTACATTTTAGTGTTAGCTGTCAAAATTTGGCATTACTTGGCTTGTGGATGCCAGGCACACAGTTGTCTTCTCCCTGTGTCTTTATACAGCCTTCCTCTATGTGTGTATCTCTGTGTCTAAATTTCTCCTTGTTATAGAACATCAGTCATATTAGGTTAGAGCCCATGCTAATGACCTAATTTTACCTGGCTGCCTCTCTAAAGGCCTTATTTTCAAATACAGTCACATTCTGAGATTCTAGGGGTTAGGACTTCAACATATCTTGTTTGAGGGACCCAATTCAACTCATAACAATAACCAACTACATATGCCAGTAACACTGTTCTAAAGCAGGCATTCTTAACTTGGGATGAAAAAAAAATTCATCTTTATTTTTCACTCTGGTGTAAATACAGCATTTCTTACAATTATGAACATAGCCAAAAACTACAGTAGTACTGTTTAGCAGTTCTTGAGAAACTGCACCCATAGGAACCACTGGTGTTTTCACATCACATTTCAGGGTTTGCAGTTATCCCAAAAATACCATTTACAGTCATCACTACTTTGAAATTATAGTTAAATAGACTTGCTGTTAGACATACTAATTTAATGTATTAATAATGATGTGTGAATATAGTAAAATATCATGACATGATATTTTCATAACTATTTCAGTAAAGCTGATTTTGATTTAATTGCATTTTTTGTACTTAACAACATTATTCTGAGAAGGGGCAAAATTAAAAGAAAATCTTTCACTAACCCACAGCCCAAGTTAGTGAATTCTTACACTTCAGACTTGAGGGTTTTTTAATCTTATTAAGTATCAGAGAACATACAGGACATTGTACATCACTTTTCAAACCTTTTTTTTTTTTTACCATGATCCATTTGGAAAATATATTTTACACATAACTCAATATACAATCTTAACTCTCTTTCACACAACACCAAACTGAAACCAAAATATCATAAAACAATATTTACCTTTACTATAGGAGACGCACTCATTTTTAAAAATTTTTTAAATTTTATTATGTTATGTTAGTCACCATACATTACATCATTAGTTTTTGATGTAGTGTTCCATGACTCATTGTTTGCGTATAACACCCAGTGACATTTTCTATTCTATTTCTTTTCATTAAAAAATGCCAGTGTGACCTACTGAATTAATTTCACAACTACTCTTGGAGCATAAATTAAATAAGTGTTAAAAATCCTTCAGTGGCATTCCTTTATAAAACTTCTCATATTATACTATAATTGGCAAAAGGCTGTTATTACTGTTATTCATGTACTATTTTAAATATATATATCATTCAGAGGTGGCATTTAGATGAGCAAATAGTTCAATAGGGCCAGACCATCATTTATTTATGCCCAGGTTAAAAAGAATTTTACCTGTAGTAAACTCGAAGTGTTTGGATTTCTTCTTCTAGTTTTTTGTACTGTTGAATTGCAGTCTCTCTGGCTTGTTGCATAGCCAACAACTTTGCCTGCAAGTAATTAATATTTTAAGAACTTTAATATTAGTTTTGGTATGTTAGATACAGTATTGCAGTATAAATAGCCTTAAATTTGTGGTAGTTTTAAAATCTATCCGTATTTTCAGTAGTGTCTCATAATTTCCCATAAAATAATCAAATTATATGAATAACACACATATTGAAGAACATATTAAATTTACCAAGTTTGCTCATTACTCAACTTCATCCTTATTCATCTGTATCATCAGATATATGCCCTCTGCAATGTTTAACTTTATACACAGAATTCAGAATGTGGAACATGGGTTCAGAGCAATATCTAGAGTAGAGATAAGCACAATCGGTGTTTCACATACAAACTTAATGTGGCTCCACTGCCTGACCACACTAGATTTTCTTTTAACTTTATTAATAGTAAAACCCAGAAAATTCTGAATATGTTGTTAAGCCATCTTTGATATTTAATGTGAAAAAAATACACAAGACTATAACCTGATTCTTACAGATATGACTTAACCTTTTCAATTCCTTTTCTGCAGGACAAAAATCTCTAAAGGGAGTATGGCAACAATCTTGAATGTTAGAGGTATTTTTTTCAAAGGATGTTATTGTTCTTCTCTGCCTGTAGTATTCAAATTTTAAAAGGACTGTAATCAGTTTTTCTACAGAGTTCAAACTTGTAGTTTTAAAAGAACTGCCAACTTCCACCCATCTTTCCCATTGCGTTTCAGGCATAGCCAAAAAGTTTTCAATGAAACTTTTAAAATATGGTACTGGTAAAGTCAGATTTCAGTTTTGTTTATTCAAACTTTGATTTGCATGAAAAGACTGTCTTTCACTTTAAGTGGTGTTTGATATGTAACACAGAGCAAATTGTTATCAAACACCTCACAAACTACACTAACGACAATAATTAAAAAGTGATTGAGTGTGGAGGCAGAAGTTCACTAATTTTGCTGAACTCAGATGATTTCACTGGGATTATTTTCTTGCATAAGAATAAAGTCGTAAGACAAACTGTGAAATCCTGACCACAGGAAAATTAATTAGTGTAATATAAGTGAGCACTGGACAATGCCACTTTTCTATTTGAATAATGGAGAATAATAAAAACAATGCAACAATTCAGGTCTTTGTATATAATTTTAGGAGCTAAGTTAAATAATTTGTTCTCTATCTGGGCTAGCAAACCTAACAAAGAGTTACTTGTTCATTAAATTTAAGATGTTTGAGTGCTTGCTTTAACATGTCACATTCTAGAATTATAGATAAAACATTCTCAAAAATTATTAAAAAGCATTTAAAAATACGTGGCTGGTTCTTTATGTCAAAAATTGACAGCTTGCCAATTTTCAGTAAACTATAAAATGTGATTGAAATGGTTAACATGGAAGACACAGATACCCACTGTGACTAATGGTCAAAAAGAATCACACAAAAAAGAACATATCACATTCAACTTACAAAATGTCGAACATCCTGTTGCATGTATTTAAGGAATATCAAATATTGGACAGGTAACAGAGAATTTGCTAAATAAAAATATGAGAATGCTAAGTACCTTAGATGATTATTTTTGATTTTTTTTTTAACCTGGTACTTACTTCTGCAAAAACGAACAAACAAAAACAAAATAAACAACAAAAAACCCCTCCCAAACCAAAAACAAAATGAACAATGTTCTGGTAGGAAAACGCCATAATGAATTAGATTTCTGCCTAAGACATTTCTGCAATAAAAATGGGAACATGAGAATTTTACTTAAATCCCTGTGCTTCAGGTAATACTGACTTTCTCACTTCTCACATTTAATTGGCTAAGAAGATCTGGTGTGGCTTCATAGCAATCCAAATGTCTAATCTTATGTCTAGGCCCTGCTGACTATGTTCAAAGCTATTATAAACCTCCTGGCTTTTCCTTTATCAGATATATGTTCATCTGGCCAGCATTTCTTTTTTGGGGAAATACCCTTACCCTCTGTCACAGTGATGCTGTGCAGTCCTGGTGGCTAGGATGAACTTCATTCCCTACCACTCAGGTAAATATAATCCAGGTTGTTCAAATACAGTACTCCATCCCACCAGCCCCAGAAGAAAACTGAATCCTGATGACATCATTTGTACTCCTGGATCCCCTATGCCAGACAGTTTCAGATCCATTCCATCTCTTGGACTTCCTGAGTACATAAATCTTTTTTTTAAGCTTAGGCTAGTTTGAGTTGGATCTATGTTATATGTAAGAAAACTAATTTAAATGTGCTGTTTACTTCTATTGCATTTCCTTTCACTATTAATATCATATAATTCCACGTCAATAATAAATTACAAGTCAATAATAAATTTCATATAAAAAACATTAAGGAAATTAGTAAACAAGATATTTTTTCCTGTTCCTTGGGCATATTTCCCATATTTCTGGCAATTACATGAAAAAAAAACTGCATGCATTCATTTATGTGTGTACTCATAAAAATACATGCATTAAAAAAACTAATAAAATTTAAAAAGTATAAGAAAATACAGTGTAAAGTAAATCTTTCTTCCACCTCCAACCCTCAGTACAAATCCCTTCTCCTGAGATTAGCAGTCATCTGTCCAGAAACAGTCTATACGTGTATATATAAGCATATATGCAATGACATACACCTATTTACAATACTGATGACATGCTTTACAAAGTTATAAACTTTGTCTTAAATTTAAAAAATATTTTTTTATCTTGCTTCCTATTTAAAAAAAAAATCCTCTATCCCAACCCATATATCGCACTTACTAGTTATACTCCCTCCTTCCCTTCCACCCCCAAAGTGAACACTTCCATGAATTTGGGTTTATCATTTTCAAGGACATTTTATACTTTTATTATATAGTTAAATACTTATAGGTAATGTATATTTTTTTGCAGGTTTTAAACTTTATATAAATGATACTTCACATATTTCACAGGCAACTGCTTTTTTGGCATTGTACTTTTGACTTTTATTCATGTTGATATATGTTTATCTGATAATACTTATCTTCACATGTTGTAAAGATGTGCTATATACTGTGATTACAGATATATTTGGATTTATTTGTACATATTTTTCATGTTTCATATATCCTGTTTTCTTTGCTCTTTTTTGTCTCTCCTTCTTTTGGATTAAATTTTCTATAATACCCCTTTTACTGTAATGCTTAGAATCTATGTATTTACTTACCTTGAAATTTTTGATAAAGATACTTATATTTTTGAGCAAGGCCTTCAGTGAGTCAGGATTTCTATATACAATCTGAGTTTTAATAAATGTTTTACACAACTATAACACTTTTTCTACTTATAGGTATATTTTTAGATAAAATCTTTATTGAAGTAAAACATGCATCATGTATCACATAAGTATACATGGATGTATTTTTTAAAGTCAAGTTTATTGAGTTATAACTTACACAAAGTAAAAATTTACCCATCTATGATGTACAGTTGTATAAATTTTGACAAATTTATGGTCATATAACAGCCATCACAATCAAGATACAGAATATTTCCATTCATCCACAATGTTCCTTGGTGCACCAATATAGTCAACGTCTTCCCTTTACACCCAATCCCTGGCAACCACTTGTGATTTTTATTCCTATAGTTTGCCTTTTCTAGAATGTGACACACAAATGGAATCATGTAGTAGGGAGCCTTTTGAATTTGGCTTCTTTTACTTAATGCTTTTGGGATTCATTCATACTATTACATTTATCAATGGTTCATCCCTTTATGTCACTGAGTAGTATTCCATCGTAGGGATGTACCAAAATCTATATATACATTCACCAATTGATGGACATTTGGGTTGTTTCCAGTTTGGGGCAATTATTAATAAAGCTCCTATAAACATCAGCATATAGGTAACTTTGTGGAACAATGCCTTCATCTCTTTTAGGTAAATACCAAGGAATGGAATGGGTCCTATGCTAAGTGTGTATAATGTGTTTATATATTTTATATAAAGTGATGTACTTTATAAAGCTATATATACTATAAAAAAACTGCCAAACTTGCTGCTTAAATTGATGTAACTTGAAAGCATCTGTGCTTAACTATAATGCCATTTGTTGAATGCCTACTATGGGTTGGGCATCGTATCAAGTGCTTGAAATCCTATAGTCTATCCCCACAATCAACCTATGAGAGAACTCCAATTATCCTTATTTTACAGGTGATAAAATTGAAGTTCACAAAAATTAAGCAACTTGCAAGACTATATAACATTCTCGGATATACATATGTAAATATATGTGAACACAACATATATATGTTTATATACACACATACACATATATGCTAGGTCAACCTATATTCTTAAGAACATATGACAGAGACAAAAAATAATTACTTAGGAATTTGAAAAATAACCCACCAATGTGTGGGTTCACAAGCACTTGATTAATTTTCATATGTCTTAGCCACACTTGCAGGGAAAAGGACAAGCAGAGATGTACCAGATACTCTTGAGCATGCTGCCTTTTTATATATCACTCAAGCCTTTCCACATATAATTGCTCTTTTTGTTCTTTATTCTAATTCCTCCAAAACTTCACCTAAGTTTTCGGCATGAAGGAGTCTTGTAACTGGGAGTCGTGTGTATTTAGTCTTAGTAATGGGAACAACTAGGAGTTAACACTGTATTTAGTCATTAGCTGGATCTCCTACTTCTCAAACTGTGCTGCTGGTTCATCTCTCCCTAATACTAGTAAGAATATGAACATTCTGCTGCTTACTCCACCAAAATTTATCTATTAAAAACATTTCTCGTCTTTACTAAAACATGGTCTCCTAAATCCACTAATTTTACTATTTTAACAAAAAATATTTCTAAGCATATATAATCATAATTATATTTTTAAAACTTTCTAAACAAATTTAAAACTCTCTAAACAAAACTAACAAATTTTATGAGCTTATCACCAAATTTCATTGAATCTAAGATACTACTGATTTTAAAACACTATAATTTTATGCAGAAAAATCATGCC